AGACAAAGAGTGATAATTAACAAGGCGAAAGTGAATTACATTTGTGATGGAAGAAAAGTAGAGAACGTAATTGGATGGAAATTAAAGGAGTTGAGTGGAGCGTTAGTTAATACTATTATTAGCCACTAGATGCCAAAATTTAGTGGGCCAAAAAGCATGGGAAATTATATTAAAGCCTTTAAATTTTTCTTTTTTCCCAATCATAGCTCATAACAATTTGCGTGGGGCTGAACCCGCCACATTTACTGGGATCCGAGGAAGGCAAGATTTATCATGAACTAATACATAATTAACATACATAAAATCACATTTTTGGGCGAGGAGGAGACAGTGAAGGGGAAGAAGATAGGGGAAAAAATGAATGAAGTTGGAAGGGAAGGCAGAAAAGGACAGTGAGACAGAGAGGTTAGCAAGTCGGAAGGTATGATCTGTGACTGCACACGTCCATTTCCCTGGATCCCTCCGAATCTCTCTCTGCTCCATGTGCTCTCAGTCCAGTCCTCGTCACACTTAATTATTCTCTACCCCATCTTTCTCACCCTCCTCCTATTCTCTCTCTCTTACTCACTTCCCTCTCATTTACTCACATCTCATCTCAATCCCATCTGCCTCCACCTCTTCGCTGTCTTTTTTTCGTTCTCATTTGACAAATACCCCCCCCCCCTCTTTTTAAATGAGTTTCAGTATAACCATGTTGCTTCTGTGTCCTATTTGATGTCCCTTTTTTATTTTATTATTTTCAATGTTTTCGTTGGCATCACAGATTAATTAGACTAGATTTCTTAAATTTCTTACCTCTTTTCATTTTTCTCGGGTGCGGTTTCGTGGTTATCGTGCAAAGCGAAGATCTCACTTTCTCTGTGTTTGTGTGCGGTTGAACAAAGATTGCTTGCACCCTTTAACTCACCAAACCAATACATTATTTAGTAAATTATATATGTTCTCTTATTTTTCTAACACATTAATGATGACGAGCCAAGGCTGAATCTGGGACATGCATTCTAAGGGTCACCTTTTTTTTTTTTTTGTGCCAGGGGTAACGTGCAAGATCATGAATTCATGATTGTGTTATTGAAAAACTATTCACTACTTCTTGACTTAAATTATAAGATAATTTAAGATAAAATTATATATATCAATAAAATTTAATAATAACACTTTAAAAAATTATTCTTTAAAAATAAAAATATAAAATTTTAAAAATATCTCAATTTAATATAATTTTAAATTTATATACAAAATTAATGCACTGTAATTGTTTTAATTCTCTTTTTATTTAAACGGTAATATTAGAAAGTCATCATTAATGAAATTTTATTTTTGTTAAATTATATTATGTTTTGGGATGATAAAATATTTTTAAAATTATTTTATAATTTCAAAAGAGAAAAATATTTAACAGTTCAATTTTATTTAAATATTCAAGATCAACGTATATGACAATGTTTTTAAGTGATTAAAACAAGGCTACGAACAGTTTATGAATCTTAATTAATATATATATGATTAAAAATAGAAAAAGTATAATCGTTGATTCCTATAGCTTCATCAAGTGTTATTCTTAATTCCTATAATTTTTTAAGTATTTTTAATTTCTATAATTTTAACAAAATTGAGTGATATTTGTTACTCAAATTCTTATCGATGTTAAATTATAAAGAATATAAAAAAATATTGAAAATAAATTATAGAGATTAAAAACAAAAGCTAATAAAATTGTAGAAATAGATGATTGTGTTTTTTCAAAAAATAATTCCAAAGGTTTTGTTTTGGGTTATTATATTGAAAGAACGGTAATTTTGTTCACTTTCAATTGAAAATCCTTATATATATGAATATTAAAATTTTAAATAAAAATAAAAAATGATAATAAAATCCTTTTAAAATATATAAATAATAATTTAATTTTTTAAAATATCATAATTCTTCTAAAATTCCTGAAAATTTTTCTATTATTAATAATTTATATAAATTATTAAATTATCCTTATTAAAAATAAATGATTCACAAGTTTTATTTAAATATTCACAACTTTTCTTCTTATATTAACAACAGTACAATAGTAAATTACAACTTAACATGTTAAATTTCTTATTTGCTATTACATTGTTGCGAATATAAAAAAAAAGTGCTGAATTTTTAAATAAAACTTGTGAATCATTTATTTTTAATAATAATAATTTAATAATTTTATATAAATTTATTAATGATAAAAAAATTCTAAAAACTTTCTAAGAATTATAGTATTTTAAAAAATTAAATTATTATTTCTATATTTTATAAAAATTTTATTATCATTTTCTTTAAAAAAATATTAAGTCCTTGAGTTACTTCATAATCAAGGTTTCCGTGGAGAGCATGAAAACTGACGATGGAAATCAGTAAAATTGATAGTGACAACAGCAGGCAAAAAGTGCCCCTTGGCTTTATTTTGTTTTATTTTATTTATCAGAAAGATTGCAACCCATCCTTTCATTTTAAATTATAAAATAATTTGAAATATGATTATATAAACTAATAAAATTTAATAATACTTTATAAATTTATTTTTTCAACACAAAAATATAAATTTTTAAAAATATATTTTATTTAATGTAACTTTAAATGTATAATCATTTTAATTTTCTGTTTATTTTAAGGGTGAAAAAAAAAATCACTAATAAAGTTTTTTTTGGATGAAGGTGCAAGGTTATTAACTATTTTTTTAATAGTATTGAATAATTTATATTATAAAATGATACAAAATAAATTCTTAATTTAAAAAAACGAATCATTCAGCACCCATCATTAATTTTACTCGACAGATGTTAAGTAAGGCTAAGAAAATTTGACTAAAAATGACTCATGGCACTCCACTTTAACGTGACTAAAAATATAAATTTAGTTACGAACTATTTTTTAAAAAGTATTAGATTATTTCTACTATCGAATGATGCAAAGAAAATTATCAACTATAAAAGATGGACCATCCAAAACCTTTTCATTAATTTTGACTAAATATTATTTATTTTTAAATTTACGTAATCCAGAATACGTCAATCTCTTTAACCTTTTTGTCTTCATTTTTAATGTCAGCTCTCTAAAAGAAAAAGTTCAAAGGGTTCTTAAGACATTAAGAACTCAAAGGGTCTCAACATGTCAATTTAACCACAAATTATTTTTATAGAAAATGAAGTGATTGAGAACTCTTTAAACATTTTTTTCTCAAGTTGAAATTAAGAATGAAGGTAAAAAAATTGAAGAGATTAATGTGTTGTGAGTTTCATAAATATGAAAATTGGCATGGTTCTCATCAATGTCTTCAAAGAAAAACTCTTTGAACCTCGTCTCCTCAAGTTGAGATTGAAAATGAAGGTAAAAATATTGAAAAGATTAATGCGTTATAGATCTCATAAATTTAAAAATAAATGATGTTTAAGATTGAGAACGAAAGCAAAAAGATTAAAAAGATTAATACGTTGTGAGTCTCGTAAGCTTGAAAATAAACATCGTTTGGTTAAAATTGATAGGAATGTGCTGGATGGTCTATTTTTTATAATGGAGGCTATCAAGTATTTATTGAAAAGTAGTTCATAACTACAATAACACCTTTACTTGCTAAGATTGAGCATCACGTGTCATTTCAATTAAAAAATTGTGAACCTCACATAAAAAGTTAATATCCATTAAATAAAAATTAATGGAAGCCATTTGATACTTATTTTTTAAAAGTTAAAAATTTATTTCACACCATCTTATATAATATAGGCCACTCAATGCTCCTGAAAAAAATAATTAAAGGATAAATTTGCACTTTTATCTAATTTTATTTTTATCAAATTCCCTTATATTTCAGAAAAATAAAATACCTCCAATATTATTTTACAACTTGAAACGAGAGTCAATTACCCACCCATACCCATCCCGCTAACCAGCCTCGCTGGTGACACAGCATGATTTTGTTTCTAATGAAATTCACCCACCCGTGTCCTTGGTATGAAAGCGCCACAAAATTTCGTCTTCAATCATGCAATCATACACAAATTCACTTGTTGATTAAAAGAAACAATATTACATTCAATGCAGTAGAGGAGCATTCTCGGCATTATGACTTGGCTATCATTTCAGTACTATTATTTCGCCTCTTCTGGTAGCATTAGATGTCAGCATCTGTTAGCTTTTTGAAGCTTGATTCGCTTGAACAAAATATATGAAGTTGCACACAAATTACCCGTAGTTACGGTGATCCCACCTTGAGAGAAGTTGGAACTCTGAGGATCACGAATCAGAGAGAATCTCGCCAAGAAGAAGTACCGAGTCCTGAAGTGCAGTGTTCTAACGGAATTAGAGTATAGAGTACGCACGCCCATTTACTTATTATTCGAGAACAATTCAACTTTTATCTGCATGATGATGTCGTGATGATCTTCCCTCATTCCTTACCACTTCAGTTCGGCAATGATGTGCTGCTTTGGGTCTTTGGTCCACATCATCTGAAGCCCGTAATTCTATTGCCTAAAAAACTGTATGTGGAAGACACGGGCTTTCTATAATTCTTTTCTCAGAATTTGAGCCCATCAACCCGGAGGACGTCAGAGCCCATGCATACCTTTAGAATAAGATTAAATATAATGAATAATATATATATATATATATATTTTTTATTACAACTGTCACATGCTTTAATTTTCATTAAAATGTTTTGACTTTTTCAAACATCCTCCATTTACTAGATAAATGGCTAAAAAATTTGGTTTTATCATTAATTGTTTATAATAATCGGATTTTATCGAATATATCAATAAATGTTTGTCAACTTCATTGTCTCGCCAACTCCAAGTCTCTCAGCGTGCACAGATTTGAAAATATTATGGACGACTATTCTCTCAGATCTTTTCTTTAGGGTTCCTTCCATTGTCCCTACTCACTTTGCAAACAAGTGGGAAAAACCACATAACTGTGAATTTCAAAAGCCAATATACCATTATCAATCTCTAAGAGCGCGCATAATAATAATAGGATTTTTAAAAGCAAAAAATAGCCACTGCCCATTGAATGAAAACATCAACTACAAATATCAGGAGGTTCAAATCAATGACCCTTCCATCACATGACAACACGTACTTATCCACAAGCTGTACACATGCTAATCCTAAAAGCAAAGAGAACTGCAAATAGCACCTTTGGATCGTCCCCACTAAATCAATCGACGTCCAGAATAGAAGGGTGCACAATATATGCTATATGACCTATTCCTAGCACAAATTATTTTCTCTGCCCTGCCTAAAAATGTTCGTTCGCGCTCACGCACAGGCACACTCATAGACCTTCTGTCTCGTGCTGCCGTGCGATCTAACAATTGTCCACGTGTCCTCCGATCCGATGCTTCACTTATAACCATCTCCACCTTCAGAAGGGCTTCTGCAGATACATGAACATGTCCTGTAACGGCGACATCTGACTGCCACCCTGAAATTGCGATCCGAAGCCATGATTGCCCACAGTGGTATCCACGTAATTATATGGAAACTCAAGGTTCTTCTCCCACTCATTCCACTTGGGCTCGCTCTGAACCTCGCTCGCGAATTCCGGCGACACCACTTGCTCCGAACAGCTCGAATCCGTGTGCAGCTTCGGGACCGAATCCGAAGTGTCAAAGTACATGTAATCTGTCATCGCCGATGGCGCTTGAGCTGGCGGCGGTGGGGGAGGAAGAAGCGCGCCCCCCCGGGTCAAATTCTGTGGCTTCTCCTCCTCGATTTCTGAGGACTCGGTTTTCCGGCTGAGAGCACCCGGTTGCTTCTCGATGGTGCCTTTCTTGTTGTAGATACGGCAAAGCACCCAGTCATCTAGCTGCAAAAGCAGAACCCTTGGATCAATCACAGCGTTCACGGAGTCTCATCTTTCATTTTCTTCGAAAGATAAGAAGGAATCTTTTCTATAAATAGAGAGTGATAATTGAATGCTTAAACTTTTCACTAAATTGTTATTAATATAGTTAGGATTTTGATTGGATGCATGAGAAGCGTGCGCTGAATCAGCAGACCACCAAAGGGTTGAATGCGATGAATGACATCGACAAGTAACGGTCCGATATTCTACGGTGAGAGGACATCTGCACCGCCCATTTCAGATCGTTATCATTAAATAAATGAATGTGTGGCCGCCAAAATTCTGAGAAGGGACCCAAATGTCCAAGGAAAATTTTTAAGAAAATTGCATTGAAATTACACAAAAAAATTAATTATTATAAAATTTATTGATAATTAAATTAAATTACATTCACAACACGTAAATTTATCAATTGCAATTTAATTTAATTGTTAATAAATGTTATAATAATTAATTTCATTACGTGAGATCTGTGTAATTTTCTCAGAAAATTTTCTGGGCCTGCGACCATTTCATTCAAAGCACGCATTGACGAACCTCATGCATCGCAATGAAGATGTTTTATCTACCCCTAATTCGACCTAATTAATCTGACAACAACGGGGTGTTATCGAAAATATACCCTCAAGCTATTCTTTTTGCGAGCAGAACGATCCACATCCGCGAGACGATATTCGTGCATGATCCAATTTGTTTTCTCGCCTTTGGGCGCTTTTCCTGCGTAAAATACCAAAGCTTTCTTGATCCCAACAGGTTTCGGATGACCGATGGGCTTATCCGCTCCGGTCGCCTTCCAGTAGCCGGTCCCCGCTGCCCGGTTCGGCCTCGAACCGTTCGGATATTTGCGGTCTCTCGGCGAGAAGAAATACCACTCCTTCTCCCCATACATGGCCAGGCCTGTGATAAATTCAATAATAAATCTTTATAAACCAGACTTCGATTAAACTAACGGAAATCAGGGAAATGGGGGAAACAAAGGCAGCAAGTGAATTATTACCAGGAAGGTCCCAAGGATCGTACTTGTAGAGATCGATTTCTGCAATAATCGGAACAGCGATCTGCTGCGATGCACATTTACGACAGAGATAGTGCATCACGAGCTCCTCGTCCGTGGGGTGGAATCTGAAGCCGGGCGGAAGCTGGAGATCTGCCGATGCCATTTCACGAATTTGGCCTCCTAAGGTTTTCGTTTGGGCTAATTTGTCCTAAATAAATAAATAAATAAAATAACAGCTGCAGCTGACTGCGAATGTTTTCTTGTTCGCTCGCTGCCTCACCAGTCCAGGAAAACAATGGCGGCGCTTGAAACTTCGAACTCAAGGGAGAGGGCGGTATTTATAGGCCTCAGGAGGGACACGTGGCGGGAGAAGCCAGCGGTTTCTAGAAGACACGTGGGCGATAACATTTTTCAAGGTGTGGTGGTGGTGGGGTGTGGAAGAGCGAGGAAAGCTTTGTGTGCTGACGCGTCTGGACACGTGTCGAGCATGGAAGTGCGGTGCGTGCGTGTCGATAACCCACATGAAGTGATTTGGTCATTGCTTACGACACTAGTTTTGTATTGGAGTGTCAGTCGGTCGAGACCGGTGCCCTCGGGATTCGCGAGCAGTCGGCCCGTGGATTCGGTCTCTCTGGCGAATCGTCCCCAGAGATCCAACGGCTTATCAGAGGAACACGTCATCGAGAGATCCACTTGCGTTCGACCATCATCATTCCGCGTGATTTATGATTTGTTGCTTCTAAAACATCGAGACCCACCTGACCTCAGTGAGCTCCGGCACACTCTCAATTTTATGCATGGGTGAGCCCTTGTGGCCTTCCTAGCAGTATTTGTCTCTTTAATTTTTTTTTAATTATCATCTTTAAAGTATAAGCTCTTCTTTCTCTCACCGAAACGAAGCTTTTGCTGAGAAATTTAATTTCATCTATGAAAGCGTTGGTTAATTAATTAAGTTAGCCACATAAGTTTTCAAGATTTTGATAACGCAATTAATGACAGTGTTGAAATTATTTAAAAAATAGAAAAGAAAAGCAACTGGGATTGCCGGAGATTACGGGGAGAGCCAGAAGGGGTGTGTATTAAATTAAATGGGTGGGGAAAGAGCAGCCTACAGAAAAGACTGCATTGAACGTTGGGGGTTGGGAGATGCTGAAAATTGACATACACGTGCGAAAACGTCAATGGGACGTGACTTAGGAAGTTACCAGGTAAGCCCCCATTCCAGCTCCCCCACAATTATTTTAATATATTTTAGTTTGATTAATGTTGTCGTCAGCAGCACGACCGTTTCGATTTTTTTTTTTTTTTTTTACCCCTCTTCCTTTTTTCCTGTATGTTCTCTTCTTTGGTTGGTGGGGGGGGGGGATTGCTTAGTCATCAGGTCGAGCGAAGAGAAAAGAAGACGAGCGTCGGGTCGTACGGTGGCGACCGGTGACTCTATCCTGTGGCAGCATCCCCCTTTCGGTGATCGGTGGCGGTATTGTGGGTAGCAGTACATTACTAGAGTCTACTACCTCGCTCACAGTCCTATCATACTCCACCACGTGGCCTACAGCCGGGGACCATGCGGCGAGTACACCCCACTTCACCCGCGGTATAGATATTTCTCGAACTTTTCTCGCGTCTCCGCTCCTTTGGAAAGTAGCTTCTCCTAAAGATTCCTTCATTTTTTTAAAATGAACGTGACAACTAGCAGGCTAATAAATATTATAACCCCTCGAAGTATACTTGATAATGATGTAGTCTCTCTCGTCCTGTGTGTGGGTTATGTTTTAGAAAAAAATTGATCATGATTTTGCATTTTTAATTAATTACTTTATCTCAATTCTATCATCTTGCATTTTTGTTAGAGAATAATAGAAGATTACACTTAAGAAGGAAAACGATTTTGAAAATGAAGCGTTTAACGAGGGCAGACTAATTTTCTTCGATAAAGTCAAACAGTTTAACTCCCTTTCATTTAAAAATCGTTTCATTTTAAATGGAACGATTACAAAAATTCTTCCAGCAAACCGCAGCAAATAACACACTAGCATTGATATCAACTTCAGTATTAGTAATATTAGTCTGAATATATTTTATTGATTTGGTTGATATCAGTTTCACCAAAGCTATAGCTTTCTTGTCTAGTTGTCTTGAATTTCTTAGTTAAAGATTAAACCATAGAAGTTCGTTTAAATTATACTGTGCCTACAGCCATAATATTAAATAATATTTTATCATCAACTCTATAATTTTAATATGTTTTTATAACTTGAGATTGGGAGTATATTATAATTTTCTTTATATTGATTTTTTATTAGAACATGATAAATGTTATTGTGCTATATTGATTTTTTATGTGATTATAATATGGGGTTTTTGTACACATAATCTATATCATAAGATCAAGTAAAAGAAATAGTCCATCCTTTCTTAAATTTTAAAAATGATCTTTTTAATATTTAGTTTATAATTAATTTACAAAACTACTTTTTTAATATCTGCTTTTGGCAAATACCAGAAGATTCAAAACATAATAAATCTTTGGAACTGAACAAAATGAATGCAAGATATATAGTCTAGAATAATTTTTTTAGAGATGAATGCGAGAGAGAATACGAAACTAAATGCAAGAGAGACAAACACGAGACAACAGAGCAGTGTGAGCAAGTCATAGTCACGATCGCGAGAGACAAACGTAAGATGAGATATATCGATGGTACTTGATAGAACAAAGCATGTCAGTGGGGAAATCGAACAACAGATTCATGATTTTTTATTTTACTAATCTAGATTTTTAACTTTTTGTGATAAACTAAGAGTCTGAATTTTTTTTTGAATTATGTTTGATCCATTTAGAACAAATGATTATATATTTTTTGTGTTATTAATTCACGATACTATATTGTTGATATATTGATTATATCATTGATATACTATTGTAGATCAATATAACTAGACAATCAAATATAAATTTATTTATCATTAATATGTGTGTGCGCGCACGTGTATCAATGATGTAGTATCGTAGATTAATAACACGCAAAAATACATAATTATTTATCTAAAATGAATTAAACATAGTCTGCAAAAAAATTAATGTTGCCGAGAGATGAAAAGATGGTGAAAATCTGGTGACAAAAAATAAATTTCAGCCCAGTCTTATACTTTCAAAATTGAAGATTCTTTTTTAATGTCTAATGTCCTCTTCATAGTGTTCTTGAAAAAAATAAAAAAGAAGAGAGAAGAAAAACTTTACAATTAAAAAAGGCACAGCCAGTTTTATATTCATAAAAAAAAAAAAGGAATGATTCAAAAATAAAAAAGAAAAGATTCAATCAATAAAGAATTAATCATAATAGATATATTATATTTTAATAATAAATTTAATATGAGGATAAAAAAAAATATATTTAATTGATTTATGAATGGACTATATTTTAAAATATTTAAAAATCTCATCTATAATTTTTTAGAGTTGTATTTTTTTTGAGACTATTAAGCTAATTTTTTTATAATATTTTAATTAGAAATGGTAATTTTTTTAAAAAAATTGCATGTAACTTTTTTTTTATGACCAAATCTGCTTGTAAAATATATTTTTTTTATATGAAAAAAGAAGACATATTGAAACAACGAAGAGAAGGAATGAGGAGAAAATCCTGTGCCTTGGAAGGGATGACAGAGGGATGATGTGGCGTTCAAACCCAAGGAAAAGTGATGGTCATCTGGTTGGACCCACTTGAAGCTGACTTGCCTCCGCTGATTACTCGCTTTCGTTAGAAGTGCTTAATTTATATAATGCCTAATGACGATGGAAAAAAAAAAAACAGAGAGAGAGAGTAAAAAAATATAAAAGAATGATGCGATGGGCAATTGCCAAATGTATATTATAGGTATGGAAATGAATCAGCCATGAATATGGGTGGCCAGAAGCCTAGATCAGAAACAGGAAGCCTAATAGCCTATGGCACATGGGTACGGAAGCCTTCCAAATCTCTGAATATGATTTATTATCAGCCAGGATGGACCGCCCATTAGTTTATTTTATTGCAATAGTATTTCAATATTTTATTAATTTCAGAAGAATCAAACTCATTTTGTGCAAAATAAATTTCTGTTCAACCCCCCCGAATCATGTTTAGTCTGTGGAAGATGATACAGAAAGGAGCTCTGCCCAGACACTTTTCGCAGGCAATCAGGCCCATTAACCAGCCTGTATTAACATGTTCTCTGATATCAACTTATGTCTAGTTATACGAGCTTCACTACTTGTTCTTTTCTTGTTGATACAGAAATTTATTTAATTTGATATACATCATATATTCCATGTTATTTTGTAGAAGTTTGAGTGAGCTGAATCTCATGAACTCGTTTATAGTGTCTTCAAATTTAAAGAACCTTTATAAAAGTACTTGATAGTTGTGGATTAAATTCTTACCTAAAGAACTAATATTTGTTGATTATGTTATGTTTCGCTTTAAGATAATCATAACAGTCATGCAAATGAAGATAGTAGGAGGAGATGAATATATTGACACTGTAAAATTACTACGGATTTACTAGTTATTTTACTTGATTTTGTTTGAACTGTGTTCTGTGTACGCATTTCAATGCCCAGTGCAATGCGGGAATGTGTTCAACGGAATCAAGAATGATGATACAATTATCGGTGGGCATTAATTAAATATTATCTGCAAAAGCAAAGATGATATGAAAGGCAGCAGGCTAGTGGGTTGGCTTGACCTTTCAAGTGAGTTTCTTGGTCCAAGTCTCATTATTCTCATTTCTTGGGCTGCGAAACTTGTCCAAGTGAAATGAACACGTTCCAATTTCTCTACGTCCTGTATGCTGAATAGGGTTTCGAAACTTCAATTACAAGGAGAAGGGTAGCGGCAACATTTCTAACTCTTAAAAAAAGAAGGTATGCTAGCTAGCTAGCCGCCGAAAAAAGCACTCATTTTTCCTCATTCAATTCCACACCAGTGTTTTTTAGTTCACCTAATTCAACGCTGATAACTAGTCTTATAGATAATCCACAGTAATTAATTAATCATTTCGTAAGTAATTATACAAGTAGCTGAAAGTGGTGGCAACTTTTGAATCTGTTGTTGATTTTCAGCCGTCTATATAATATGTAGTATAATGGTTAATGGATGCTAGCATGCCTAACTCCTCCATTCAAGCAAATCAAATAAATTAATGCGACCTGATTTTGTCTTTTTATGAGTTGAACCTTTTTAGCTACACATTAAAATAAATTAATATCTCCGTTCACACCACACAGGAACATTTTTTATTCAGCTCAAGCCATGACTTTCACATTAAGTTAACATTTGAATTCTACGTATAATGGGAGGATAGACTTGAGGATAAGGGCGAGGCTTCCAACAGCCCTCGACCTTATCTTCATTGCTGACTTGTTTGGTTGCTTGTTTTGTCAGTAATTTGAAAAGGGGAATAAATTTTTTCACTCTTCATTATATTGCATGTCAAAATTAGACCATCTTCAACTCACCGGTTGACAATAAAATATGGAATACCCATTGTTTGTCAGCCAATATTAGCTAAATTCACTTGGGGCGTGGCCTTTTTTGTAAAGAAGACTTGTATAAACCAATGATGGAGGATTTATGAATCGTCAATATTCACGACATGCAACATTTTGGATGATGATAAGGCGAAATGAGAAGCAGACCCATCAGGTCCACTTGTTCAAACGTCCAACAATTTCTTTGGAAAAGACTGTCCAGTAAAAACTAAGTAGTATCACAGTTGTTTAAATTCACGGACTATGATACAAGTGACTGAAAACTCTATATAGTTTTTCTTTTTTTCTTGTTTTTCATGGCCACGTGAGTCGACTGTTCATCTGACATGCTGCGTCTATTATTATCGTATAGTGATTGAACTGAGTATTGCTTTCACTGTACACATGAAGTTTTGCTGTGCCTACGTTGGATAGTAGATTGCTGACAGTACAGCACCGAAGGTAGGCCTTTGCATGTAAGTTGCATCCGGACGGCCTCCAAAGAAACAGCGACCAAGTGTTTATGGGCCGATGATCTAACACAAGAAGCGGCCTTTTGCAAGTTGCAAGTGACGAGATGCGTGTCAGGCCGATTTGGAGGTTAGTGATATAGTATGGACCCAAAAACGAAAGGAATATCTTAACAGTACGTGCTCTAGATTTGGTTGAGATTCTGTCAATCAAAGTACTTATGTCCCCATGATTCTTGGTTTATATTCATGACATTGACAGATTACAATTCTCATTAGGATCTTGAAAAATCTCAGTACTTATTGTGCCTTTGAGTTTCTCTCTTCTTAGTTCTGAGGCCTTTTGCTCAGAAACTTGGATGTCCGAACAACCTCAACGTCATGAACTGTGCTGTAATGATGGGCACGCCTCAGAGCATTAATGCTCTCGTCACTGAATTTCTTACCAAGGCGATTCCTTTTATCATATTATAGCTAACATCTCCATTGATCAGAAGTCGTGCGTGACGGTTTCTAGGCCTCAAGGAGTTTCTTAAGTGGGAGGTTTTATAATTCTTCCTCCTACATGAAAGCCTTGGTCCCAAAGCATAGCATGAAAGGCTTTTGTCACTGTAATCTTGTTCACTCGTCCTGTAAAACCTTTCCCTTTCCGTGAATCTTCTTCTCCGTTTGAGGTTGCTTTGCTTCAAACAAAACAAAACAAAACAAAACAAAACAAAAAGGTGCAAGAATACTCCCAAAGGTGGAACCAAAAAGCGACGCATGCCCAAGTGGATCTGCAAATGATCTACCCAACGCATGCACATATGCCCAGTCTATGCGATTGGTAAATGAATAACACAACTGCCAGAAGGGAACAAAAAAAGCGACAGAAACAAGAACATGATGTGCTCATTTTCTGTCAATTTAAACAAATTTGGGGTCACATGGAAATAAAATAATATTATAGCAGTGTAAAGAGAAAAACAAAAACACTCACCAACGTAAAGCAGAACGAATACCAAGGCCAGCTTCAGCAAATTGGCAATGCAAAAATTTTCTATGTAACACAGGAGATTCCGTGTGAGTCCCAGACTGAACTGAAAAATATTCCAACAGCGTTATATCAGGAACTCGTAAAGAAGGATTGGTATATGAAAAAAATAAGTGAACAGAAACCAATCATAAAAAGACATTAAAACTTAAAAGCTAGTTTTACTGAAAAAATTCAGTGCTTGAGCTCAAATTTGTCCGTGATTGTGTAATGTGATAAAACAAAAGATGGCCTTACCTGCAAGACTTTCCAGAAGGGAAATCAGCTTGAGAGCTAAACAGTTTGCCGAAGCCCGAAGCAAAGGATTCATTAACGTTGCCTATCGATTCATACTGTAATTTCAAGTATCACAGAATTGTATAGTTCAATCACAGATTTGCAACCAGTTCATGTAACATCGATGAATTACAAGAGTAAGAATGTCAACCGCCAGATCATGGAGATTTCCTCATCCTTCTTTTTTCAATTTCTATCTGATATGGAATCATTTCCATGAACACGAAGACCCGTAACCCTATTGATAGAGAAAAAAGTGATGAACGCAAACTGTTCTGCCAATTGATTTTAGAAGACTGCCTTGATCGAAATTAGCCCCACATTAAAAGTGCGTACAACTATACAACTTAGATCAGAAATTTTATTGACCCCAGGCAATGCGATCTAACCAAAACTACGATATAAACTAGGATAGAGGGTTGAATAGGTTGACACAAATAAATCATGTGCAGGAAAATGGTACAAGTTACTTTACTTACAATGTAGAGAGAGATTAATTTTAAAAAACATCAATCAAGAACTGCAGAAAAAAATTTATATCAATCATAAATCACTTGTTATCAAAACTTAAATGAACACTTGTCGATTAATTTTTTATCAATAATTATTTATTTAAATTTTAATAACAATTTATTTTAAATTTACAACAATTCATTTGAGTTTTTTTTTCATTTGAATTTTGACAACAATTAATCTTTAATTGATATAAATTTTTTCCGAAGGTTCTTCATCGCTATTTTCCCTTATTTTTAAGGGTTTAATGTTGAAGAGTGGAGCTAACCAATTTCTTATCCAACTCGAAAGAAGATAAAGATAGAAGACAATGGTCATTGGTACTTGGTACTTCGTAGAGGAGTCCCTCTGTCCAGGCATTCAAATTCACATTCATATTAAGCAGATAGATAATAAATCATATTACAAGTAACTGGTTTTCTCATTGGTGATATAACAGCTTTGAAATTGGCCCCAAAAAAAAAAATTTCTTCCGACGTTGACCATCTTTCTTCTTGTCAATTTCTTTTTTTTTTTTTTAACTTAACATGCACAAATCTCCGAGTTCAGTACAACCAAAGATTCATCTGACTATATGTTGTACACTTCCAGGTAAACAATAACAGAATTACTAAATATCAACAGAAGCAAGTATGAGATCTGAACCTATATAATCTCCATTCTCCACTACATGCTTGTCAATCGTGTTCATGAATCATGACTCGTGACTCATGAGGCTGCACCACTACTCTCCCCACGCTAAATCCGTTCTTAATTGTGTGTATATTCTCAACACTCAAGATCTCACCCCCCGGCACCTGTTTCTTGGGATAGATTGAAAACATCAAATTGATTGAATACAACAAAAACAACAAACTTTGTTCTACTAGATGGGGTCAGATCAAATTGATTGAATAGTTGAATTCATTCCACATCTACTTTCCTTGTCAGAGGCACATAACCCAGGGATCCTTTCTCATATTATGAATATGGACGCCATACATGCTAAAGGAATAATGGCAACACCAGAACAAAAGGGTTCCTTTTAGTATATGCATGCTCGTCATCAAACAAATACAAATACAAAATTGAGTCCCGCCCTCCCCAACCCACCCCACCCCACCGCACCCCACAAAGAAATTTTGCGCTCCAGAGCTTGAAACTAACTAAACAAAACAAACAAATTAAGATATTACGCTTCATATATTCGCAGTAAAAACCCCTTTCCATTTGCCACTAAACGCTGAGAACCAAAAGACAGCGAGAGGAATCAAATTAACCTTTTGGTCTCCTTCATAATGAATAATAAAAAATGCAAATTACTGATTACAATAGATTTCAAAGAAGGTAAAAATGCAAGATACAGCACTGAAGGCCAGCCAAGGAATATTTAACAGTATAATAAACGACCTGCATTTAGCTGATCGGACACTGTTTGAACACATGGTACTCCACCCAGCAGAGTAACATCCTCATGTTCTATCTCGTACATTACTGGAGGTAGCTTGCCTTTCCTCAAGTCTCTTGCATTTATACCCAGAGAGCTGTACCGTCTGTAGATCTCACACTGGATAAGAAAAGGTAAATATTTATAAATAACTGCTGTCGCGGAAGCCAGATGGCTTAATGCTGAGTGCCTAATGTATGAGATCAAGAGCGGAAGACTGTAAGTTGTTTCTTTTACCAATTTCTATTTCACAGTCTTCCACTGTATGCTTGCTCTGTTCAACAGTACGTAATTGAGGAGGTAGGAGGACTTTTTGTGAAGGTAATTCAGCTATGAAGAGCACAGTTTGAGCCCATCCAGCATATTTACCATATTTGCTTACGAATGCCTCTGCAACACGACCGCTAAGCTTTGGAGTCAATCGGGAACCTGCAAGATCGGGTAAGAGGTATTTTGTTGCAATCTTACCCAAATTCCAATATAATACGAGCAAATTATTACACATCAATACACCTAAAAGAAAAATGAAAGATCAGAATTGATACAAGAGGGAAGCACAAAACAATAAGATCCTACCTGCCATACATGTGTGTCAACAGGAATGGCATGATGTTGATCAAGTGAAAAGAGGGCTATGCAAGCAGCCACCTTAGGACCCACTCCAGGTAATGAACAAAGGGCGTCTATAACTTCTTGAAGATCCAACATACGAAGAGATTTAAGCCATTCTTCCCCTCCATCAGGTTTTGCTTGCAAAGAATTTACTGTGCCAATTATATATTTGGCCCTGTGACATATATAATTAAAATGTTCATACCCTTAGTCACAAAGGTAATATGTCACAGTATTATGAATGCCTGAGGTAGGTACATGATATAGACTAACATGCAAAATTCAAATTAAGTGATCATCTAAAAGACAATACAGGCGTAACAATGATGCACACATGGGTTATAGTTTGGTCCACTCCACATATAAAGACAAGCATCGTCTGGATTCCCCCTTTCACTCTTTCCGTTTTGCTCTCTTGGACAGGGAATCGGCAGTCTTCAAGAAAATAAACAGCGCAAAAATGTAAGCATGGATACAATAGAACACTGACACATTCCAAAACGAAAACAGGAATATATTTTAAGAAAAAGAGTTCAGGTTGATATTGAGAAGGGAGATTTTGTTTTCATATGAAGAGTTCAGTTTATCAGGATGCTTCATATCACATGAAGATTCTATCAGCTTAACCAGCCATGGTCCATCTGATCAGATTTGAGATTTTAACATCCCAATTTCAATCCATAATCACTTGCAACCCAAGCATGACAAGTCTTGCAGCAGGCGTTAAATCATGAGTAACAACAAGGCCTTAGCTTCAAAGTAGTAAAGAGAAACTAGGTTCATTATTGCCGTTATCCAGCAGTCTTTTAGTAGCGTGACTGTAAAACTGCAAAGGGGTTGGCTTTAGCCCACATAACCGTGACTTATCCTTCCTATCAACAGTATATTTGTCAGAAATAATCGCATTTACAAATTTGTAAGGGTGAGGGAATCAGTACATATTGTACTTTTTTATTAGAGCAAAAAGAAAAATGCTTTTCTTTTCTTGAAAGATAAACTTCAAATGACCACGGAGCTTAAAAGAGGACATCCAGGTATTCTGGCATCTTAGACCTGGCGGCTCATTTGGCTCTCATATGAAATTGTTGGAGTTGATTTCTGAAGTCAATGTCTCACAATCCCAACGCATTGTAATCATAGGCACAATGGTAGATTAAGCTACATTAACCAGCACTCAGAAGATGTAAAAATGCACAATTCGAACTTCTATCAAAAAGTAGTAGCGAAAGGTCACATACATAAAAAGTATCAGAATTTAATCTAAATAACAGAACATTATGGCATCCAACCTGTAACCAAAACCGGCCTTTCTAAGTTCCTCCTCTGAAATCAACGACAGCTGCTCCATAGTGGGGAAAGTATGGAATTCAAAACCTCCAACTGTCCCCAAATAATTTCCCAAACATGAAATATAATCCACCATTTTGGTAATCCTTTGAATATTGTTATTAGAAGAACACAGAAACTGAATCAGACACTCAAGCGGGTCCTGTCTAAGCACTCGGGCACCCCCCAAATGGCACGCTAACTCCGCAAACCTGGCATCCGAAGCGGAAAACTCCTTCCATACGTCAGTGAGAGAAACACGGGCATTGAGAAAGTCAAGCAAAGCAGTCCTACCATCAATCTCAGAGTCCGTGCGGTGAAGGCAATAACAAACGTCGCCGTTTTCGACGTGCTTGAGAGATATGAGGTGAGATCCAACAACTCCAGTGTACTGCAAAGGTCCCGTCTTCTTCCATCGGAAGGTTTGGCCAGTGGGAAAAGTGAGAGGCAAGCAGAGCTCTTGCTGAGCAAGATTGAGCGGGACCCACCTCACAGGGTCGGATTTCGAAAACCCGTTGAGCGAATCGACGATGCGTTTTGGTTTTCTGGAGCGATAGCACGAGGACACGGATGTGGGCTTTGGGTGGCAGGTTTTGTGCAGTGTTTGTGGGGTTGGAGGCGTCGAAGGAAGTGGTGGCGATTTGGAGGATGGAGAGATTCTTGAGGATAAGGCGGACCTTGTTCTTTTCATGACCTGAACCAGGTTCAATGAGTGTATCGATGGACTGTGATCCACTTCAACGAACAACGTCAGGGTCGCCGCCGCTCTCCCGAAGGAGCCGTAGGCTGAAACAAGGGAGGGGTTGACACTTGACATCTCATGGTCGGGTCGGGTCACGGGTATTTCTTTGGCTTCTCTTTTGTTTTGTTTTTCGAAAACAAGCTTCACTTTTGTTTTTGTGGCTGCGTCCTGTATTTTTTTTAAAAATCTTTTATTAATCTAATTCACAATTATCATGAATTTTTTAAGAATCCTAGATTTGATGGGCAACTTGATTTAAAAATATTTTTTTATTTTTTAGAACAAAAAAATTGTTTGGTAATATATTTTTCAAAAAGTATTTTGAAAGATAAAAAAGTAAATATTGTTCTGGAAAATAAAAAAAAAATACATTTTAGATGTTTTGAGATTATCGTTTTGAGAATAAAAAAGAATGTAAAAAATATCTTTTTTATTATTTTTTTATTTTCAAAACATGTTTTACAAAATATCAATTCAATAAAACAAAAACAAATTCAAACAAGCCAAATTCTTTTCATGTTTATTTTGTGAGGTATTTATGGCTCATTTCGTATGCTTGAATTGAGAAGTGTGGAAGTGGAATTGATGATAAAATAAGATTTTCACTTGTTTGGTATGATGGAAGCTAATTATGTGCGAAGTTACCTCTAAAAAAATGGAATTAATTTCCATAATAAAATCTCAGATTTGCAATTCCTTGTTTCATCTCCATTTACATTTCTAACTCCTTGACCCTTTTACCCTATAATTTGGGACTCCGTAATCAACCTTGTTAGCTCCTGCTTCATCCCTTGCAATCGCTTATCGTCGAAACTAGGTGTTGTCATCCGACCTCCAACCTTTGATCTTCAACCTTTATCCTTTACTTATCTAGATCTCCACCCCCTCTCTCTTTCTCACAATCCTTAGCAGTATTTGCTTTACTTTTAACAAGGGGGAGAGAGCGAAGAACCAAAGAAGACAATGATGAGAGATGATAGCAATCTCCTCAACAATGATGACATGGCCTCTAAAACCACCTTATCCTTACAGACAGTGATAATAGGTTTGATGGCAACAATCTTGTTCTTCCAGATCTAGGTTCTTCAACGGGAAACCATTATCTTCTTAGCTTCACCTTTCGTGATTTCTGATTTCTAACTTCCAGATCTAGGTTCTTAGCTTAGTGACATGTTTATGATTTCTCTTCTCCTTTGTGATTTTTATGTGTTGGATGATTTCACATATAATATCCTAAAAATTAACCTCCTGTTAATCAGACTAATCAAGGTTAATTAAATAAAATTAGTGTAGTATGTGGTTAAAGAGGACTAGTAAGTGTTTTAGGTTGTGTTTTCAGTCTTAGTTTTGGATTTGGAGTCAAGTTAGGTCACCTGGACTTCAGGAGGGGAGAAAAAACAAGGAGGAGTGACTTTATGCCAAATGTCACAGTGTATATGCTGTGTGCCGCGACGCAATAAACCATCCAACAAGAAGAATACTCTTTGTGCCATATGCCATAGCACGTGTGACATACATCACGGTGCACAGACCAAATTTGACGGCAATAAGTTGCGATTCAAACATGAAAAAGAGAGAAAAAGATAAAATTTGAGAAAGAGAGACTTATAGTACTTAAGGGGCTCTACTAAGGCTTTGATATTCAAGACATTCAAAGTATTTTAGAGCTTTTTAAGATCAAAGGTAAGTTCCATAAACTCATCTCACACTTCCCTCTTCTCTTTTAAGAATTTTTTAGTTAGGGTTTGTAGTTGGGGAAGTGATTTCGGTCTATAAAGGCTATAAGTTTGAACTCATTAACTTAAATAGAGTTAATAGAAGTTACGTGAGGTATTTAAACTTAGGATTTATGAGTTTACACGTTTTAATAATAGTTGAGGATGCATTAATGGTTAAAATTGTTATTTATTATGGTTGTTGGAGTTGTTGAAAGCCATCAATAGCAAGTAAAGAGTTTAACAACGTTAGTTAAGGCTAATCAAAGTTCATAAAGCCAATGCTAAGCCTAAATGCAAGAGTTAAAGGCTTTAGGATATTTTAAGTATTGAATTAAAGTGTTTAAATTAAATAGTGATAATGATAAGTTCGAACATGATTAATTGTAGATTAATTGTTCTATATAGATTAATTGTAGATAAAATTGTGCACGCACCATTTAGGCTTGAAAACAAGCTTGAAAGCTAATTGTTTAAAGGGTAAGCCTTTGATCACCCAAAAGTTTGAGATAACTGAGAGAAATATATTTCATGTGATTGTTTGTTAACTGATTTATGTTTTTGCAAACAATAGTTGACATGAATGATTGAATTTCATGATCATAGATATGTGTAAAACATATGAAATTTTAATTAACTCATTTAGTTACAAATGTCATGTTTGAATTTAAAATGTTTGAAATATCATGATTATATAGTGAAATAAGAAGTTGACAAATTGATGAGATGATTTGTTATTGCATTGGCTTCAAAATGTAATAAGAGTAAAAGTGGATAATATGTGAATGTGATATGAATATGTAAGAATGAGAATAGAAGTTGTGTGTGATAAGTGAAAATAATTGTGATGCTCACATTTGATAGCCTATTGTGCAAATTGAATAAACTTGTAATTGTATATGTAAATATGTGAAATGAGTGAGCATAATTCATTTATAGCAAGAGTTCACCCAAGAAGAGAAGTAGATGAAATTTATGTGGAAGTAACTGCCAATCGTTGAAATTGAGGAGTAGCCTTATCCCACTATTTATTGAGAGACTCGAACCTAGCTAACTCCACCAATTTGTAGAGGAGATTAGCCTAGAGCTTACAATACCCTAGTGATTTGAGAACTGAGGTAGCCATGATCTGAGAATGAGTGCGATAATATTTGATTAGGTCACTTCTCGTGATTGGTAGCTTGGGCAGTCCATTCACACAGAGGAGCCCTAATTGAATTATAACTCATGGTTTTAGTTGAAAGGTATAAAAAGGATGTAAAGATGGCTAGATCATGCATTCTTATCTAACATGTAATGACCCATGGCCAGGTATTTTAAGTAAAAATTAAATATGTAATAATGTGTATTAATTGTAAATATATTAATTCTTGGGACAAATATGACAAGAAGGGAAGCTAATGTAGTGGTGGCTATGCAAGTATCCTCTAATAGGTCCCATGTTCGAATCTAATGGAGGCTAGGAGATTTATTTTTGACCTTTGCTTGATAAAATTACCAAAATTCCCTCCCTTTAAATTTGATATATTTCTTCCTCTTCTTCATTGATTGTTTTAAATTTAAGAGAGAGAGAGAGGAGAGAAGTGCTATGGTTTTACCTTAATCTTTTGTTCTTCTTTTATGTCTCCGCCTCCTACATTTCTATCTTTAACCATCACCACAGCTGGAAGAACCCTGCCAGCATTCCATCCGTAGCTGGTAAGAGTTGGAGTTCATTTAGTGCTATTGAGCGTCGGCAAAATATCTTTCCATTCTCCCCCATTTCAAGCTCGCTATTTATATTGCGTTGAAGAATGCATCCGGTTTCCTTCTTCATCGAGCTGGTGCAGCACCATCAACCTTTTCTTTTCTCCTTCTTATTTGAGTGGCACAGTCAAAGTTTTCTCCTATGTTTAGCCAAAGTTTTGCCATCTTCTCTACTTCTAGCTTTATTGAATATAGGTAGGAGCTTCAGGTTCCTTCTTCTGCTTGTTTTCATGCTTTTGTGGCTATATCTGGTAGTGATTGAGACTATACCTTTCTTGGTGCTGTTGTGCGTGCTTGTTAAGGAGGGGAAATTAAATCAACTTGAAATTTTTAACATTAAGAAAAGCTAATGGTGTAGTTTAATTTCTTATTGAGTTTAATTGAATTATTAGTTACAATACTAAATTGTAAAATTTTAGGAGGGTGAAATCAAGAGGGGGAGATTAATATTAGCTTAAGGATTTGTGCCCCTAAGGTGTTCGATAAAATGCTTGTTTTAAGAGTTTTACTTGATTTGGATTTTTTTTGAAATTCTATTGATTGTGATGAGAGGCAGGATTGATTCAAATTTTACTTAGATGAATTTTAGCTTGAGCATTACAAAGAATTGGAATTTTAAGTTATTGTGCAGTTAGTTGAATTTTAAAAGTTTTATGTTGTGCAATTTATAAATTTATAATTATAGTGGTGTTTTATCAATTGATCTTGAGAATACATTTAAAGTGTTTGAAAAGTGGGTAAAAGAATCATGATAAATTTAATCATGAGTGTTTAAAAAATTTTGCATACAAGGTGTTCTACACAAGGTGTAAGAAATTATATCTCATTTAAATAGTAGTTATGATTAAAGTAATATGAGGTAAATTAATGAAAGAGATTATAAAATGTCGCTCCACTATACACAATTAACTAACAAAACACATGATAATCAAAGGATTAACTTATAAAGTGATTACCAAGTTTTTTATTTTTAAATTAATCATAGTCTTTTATCTCAGAGTAAAAATAAGTTATGAAAGCATGAAATACCTTAGAAGAGTGAGAGAAATTGAAAACAGTTGAAAAATAACTTATTTACTGTGAACAGGGCAATGCACCTAGCTCGTGCATACTGCGCCGCAGTGTGTTACTCTTTGTGCCACGCGCCGTAGCTCAGGTGCTATGTACTACACAGCGTGTTACACGTAAATAACAGCAGAATTGGGAAACTTCTGATGTGTCCCTGATTCTTCATCTGACATCCGATTGATATGATTGAGGTGTTTATGGAAAGTTTTTTTCATAAACTAACTAATGGCACAAGTTTTACTTTCAAAACAAGTCACACTAGAAAGTTGGACACCCAAATGTTTTAACCACTTTTTACAATTTTCACACAAAAAAGTGTCTAAAACCATTAACAAGTGCCAAAAGCCTTAACAAGTGCCAAAAGCTTTTCCTAACACCTGGACCATGTCCATTAGACTTAGAACTATCAGTACAATATGTCATTCATAGTCAATTAACAACATAACAAAAATTACTCCTCAACCCTATTTTTTTACCAAAAACAGAAGGGGGAGGTAATTTACTTTGCATTGCATCAAAACTAATCAAAATAAGATTAAAACATCATTTCCACACTTGTGAAACATTCTCACTCCACTAAAGATAATTAACT